CAGAATATTTACTATATTTCTAATATTACAGTTAATCTGCTCTTATTTACAAAGCTTGAAGATCAGAGATTCTGATTTATATTATCTTTCACTATTTCTTCATTTTTCATTTGCAGAGATCTGAACAGTGTTATTTTTCATGCAGTTCAGACTGCTCAGAATAACATATATAAGATCAATGAACAGAAGTTCAATGAGAATCTCAATTATCTGAACAAGACAGTTAAGTATATTACAATATTATATAAGTATAATTTTAACTGAAAAGTTGATCTTTCTGTAACTACTGTTACTACTGTTAGTAACATTGATTCTACAGTTCTGAATACAGATCTCAAGAATACAAGAATATCAAAGACTCTTTTGAACTGATACTGTGATCTCAATCACATTCACACTGATACTATAATTACTATGATCAAGAATTCTCATACTGAAGTCACAATTAAAGATTCTAAGACTAAGTTCTTTTATAAGAAATATGTCAAGATAGATATGATACAAGATTATTTAAAAATATCAATATCTAGATCTATTCAACTCATTGAGAAGATTCATATTAATCTTACAGATAATAAATATACATTAAAAGATCTCTCTAATTACTTCTTAGAGTTCTGTCAGAGAATTAAATACTGAATACTTATCATCTGTGATATAACCTGCTACTGTTGAGTATATTTTTTAAAGTTTAAGAATGAGGCTGTTCAATACTTTGAGTTATGACTCAGATTCATGAGTAATCTCAGATATACAGTCTCTGCTTTTCTACAGATTAATATTGATAATGTTTTTCAATTCACATATATACACATAGTTATGAATTTATATGATATCAAATAAGAATCAACAGTATTACATTCATTACATCAGAATAGCATTTCTGAATATGAGATTCACACTATTATGAGACAAGTTAGAGCTGCTTTTTTAAAAGATAATCTCTCTAAGAGATTCTGAGCAGATGTTCTAGAGACAGTGATTGCAATAATTAATAATACTTTCATATCTACAGTTCTTTACAACTCAAAATTTTGATTCTCTACTACAGAGACTTCTGTGATTTCAAGTTCACATAAGATTTCTTAATATACACTTACAAATACTTCACTGAATATGAGACATTTTCATCAATTGAGTGCAGAGGTTTTTATTCACTTGTATAAATCTCAGAAGCCCGCGGATAAGCTTTCTTCATATGCTGATTTCTATCATATTATTGAATTCAGTGACATATTGATATATTATCTATAACATTCTGAATCTGACAAGATTATTATCAGTAGTGATGTGAGATTCTCAATCACTGAAAAATCAGTTATTACATCTGTGAAACTTATTAATCATATTATTAAACTGAAATCTGATATTTATCTAATTGATGATGAAGATGTCTCTGATATTAATAATTCAAATTCTACATAATTACAGTCTGTGAAATCACTGACTACTTACACTTCAAGCTCTGTTACAGATAATCTCTCAAAGTTCTACAAGAATATCATATCTCAGTCAGAGAGAGTAGAAGATTATTGAAAGAAGTTTATATAATACAAGATTACTGATCTGAAGAGATGTAATATATAAAGTTTGATTTCTAAATCTGATATTCTGAGAGATGAACTGATTGCTTCAGACTGTTAAGTATTTCTTAAGAAAGATAGATCTATAAATCTGAATACTGATTCTGATAATATTCTTAGAAAATCATATTAAGTAATTTGTAATAACTGACTTAAGAAGAATTCTAGAGAAGAGATCTACACTTCTGTTATTACTAATACTGTTAATTATATTCTTTTTACAATAGCAGTACTACACAGTTAAACACTCTGTTAAGTGAATATAGTGATAATATATTTTTATAAGTGTCTCACTAAGAAGATCTATATAAGACAATTTATCAGTTTTAAGATGAGTTTACTGAAAACACTTATCTGCATAGTTAAGAGTAGTTTATACAGTCTGAACTCTGTAATGAAGATCTGATATAATTATTTAACAGCTCTGTTAAGTAATCTTGAATTTACAGTTAGTATCTATAATTCAGTACTTTGATATTATATATTCAGATATCATCTCTATATAATAATCTATGTTAATAATCTTAATATTATATTCAAAGTTTCTGAGAATGCTAATTAACTAGTGAGTATACTTAGTAAGAAATTGAAAGTCAAGAATCTATATCAGTTAATTAAGTATTTAAGTATAAAGATTAATTATTCAGATAAGAGAATTGATTTAATATATTATTAATATATTAAATATCTTATTAAAGATTTCTATCTTGATAATATAACTGTTATCAGAACATTAATAAAGAATGAATTCTGTATTAATAATTTCTCTATATCTAAGAAAGAGACTGATTTCATAATTCAGTAATATTAACATGATATAAGTTACTTGTAATATCTTGCAGTTAAAACATATTCTGATATTACTTATACTATCTCACTACTCACTCAATAAAATATTAATTCAATATCTCAATGTTGAAAGGCTCTATTACACATTATATATTATTTAAAAGAGATTATAAATCTGAGTATTTTCTACAGATGTAACTTATATGAGAAATTTATTTCTACTATTTCTATCATTTCTATTAATCTCTCTGTTATCTCTGATTTCTCTGATGATTTCTATCTACTCTTCAGCTACTCAGATTCTGATTAAGCTGATCTCTTAAATAATAATAGAAAATTAACATTCAGCTACATTTTTAAGCTTGTAGATAGTCTGATTTTATGATATTTAGTGAAGTAATCTTATATATCTCTAAGTTTCAATGAGACTGAATATATAACTCTTAGTAAGATAGTCTGTAAAGTAATATGAATTCAGAATCTTATAATTAAGCTTGACTTTATTATTACATCTTCAATATAGATTCTCACTAATAATAAGAATATCATAGATTTTATAAAGATGACAGTTATTATAGTCTGAAGTAAGTATATTAATATATATTTTCATTTTTCATATTGACAGTTGAATCAGAGAGTTATTGATTTAGAATACATTTTCATCACTCAGATAGTAGTAGATGAACTCACTAAATCTCTAAATACTGTGATATTTATACAATTCATGATTTTGCTAGGTCTTATAGATGTAAAAGTTGAGAATGTTTAATTTTACATTTGTATTTGGTTTTGACAGACTATCTTGGTGGTTTGAGTGTTTTTGTATGTGATTCTTGTTATCTCAAGGGGAGGTGTTGGCCGTTACAGCTGTTGCGGTTAGCGATCCCACTAGATCACATGACCCACCACTATATTATGTTCTTGTAGATAGATCTATCAATACACAACCTTCAACTATCCTACAAGGTCAGGGTCATAATTATGTAATGAGGTCAAGTGGCGCACTTAGCGAGGTCAAGTTTTCTGTATACACCAAGCCCAAGCACTTGAAGCAAAGCAACCAAGTAACTAACTTAGCTCTGTGGGGTATTTTAGCTTAGGTGCGGCCTGCAACCACCCCCCCCCAGCGCCAACGAGCATTAGTTGAGTTATTCAAAAACACAAAAATAATACCAACGAATGATAAGAGACAAGAAAGAGAAAGTTATCAATAATGACGATGGCAAACAATTGGAACATCCCCTATTTTCGCGGGAATGGTGGGGGGGCGGCGGCTAACCTTGCTTTTGCGCCAGCCGTAGACTAAAGAGTGCCCTTTTCACCATATACCAATCTATGGTCCGTCCTATTATAATCTGAAGAACCAGAGATGGGGATGATGATGATCAATGACGGATGGCTTCGACCAACAACGGTAGCCGGTAGTTTCAAGGGCAAGGCGGTTCCCGGTTTCAGTCCGAATCTCAACTTACACGAATAACTGCCAAACGAGTCCAGTCCAGTCCAGCGCTTGAGGGGCCCAAAACAGATCGCCTAAAATAGCCTCCCGGGATATAGTTATACGATACAGAACTTCTAACGCCGCGGCGTCCCCGCGAGACTGTATTCGAATTTTTTGTTAAATTGTACTACATTGCCAATCTACTGGACTTGATTTATATATAGATCACCATCCTCTACTGCATAGAACAGTAGCAGTAGTATCACTCTGATATATTACAATTGTTTCATGTTTAATGTGCAGAGATACTGTTCTATTATCTCAGCTCTTCTACTCAATGAGTTCAGTAGTAGCAGAAGTAGTATTTATAGTGCTTGTAAAATATTATATTAAACACTGCCTCAATTCTTGAATTTTTTTATTTAATTAAAAAAAGATAAAAGATTCTTGAACTCTTTTATTGAAAAAGACAAGATGATGAAGTTTTTCTAAAGAATCTAAACTATTCACAGAAATTATAAAGAATATGAGCTTTGCAAGCAGTTATTAACCTTAAGATTAGGGGGGTCACTATGATAATAGTATTCAAGTTGCGAGGGTAAGCTATGATAGTTATAGTGGCCAAGAGGCCCAATACTCACTAACCCTGTTATGTGTGGCGAGAATAGGGGTAAGGAAGATCCGCGAGGAGCGGGATTTCTTATATCAAGATAGGAAAGTTGTAAAATGCAAGATAGCGAATATGTATCAACAAATCAGATTGTATAGAATTTAGCATGAGAAATTACACTAATGATATTGCTAGGCTAATTGTGTCCTCGCGGCCAGACGAGGGAATAAATGAAAAAATGAAAAATTTTTATAGTCATTGATATGCTGTGAAGTATGATGTCATAGAAATGGAAGAACAACTTATCAAACTGATAGATGATTATGTTATGAGTTTGCCGTAAGTTACCGGCAAATCCAAAGCCTCGAGGAATTTAATTTCAAGGTATCAGATCTGATTGGCAGGCCAGATCAGTGGTCAGAAGCATGCTCTGTAAGGCTACCAATCATACCTAGCTGAGCGTTAGACTTAGTTACAGCCCTGGTACCTACATGTATGTACAGATGACTATTAGAGCAACGACAACGAAACAAACCTCCCCAACACATAACAAACACACCATGGTGTCAGCTGAGGGCTTGACTGACACATAATAACTAAGAATACAACGCAAGTTGAATAACCTCCATGAATTGACTAAATAACATTCCGGCTACTGTGATATAGATCGTCAGCGTGCTCAAACTCAAAATGACAGGCAAGTGCAAACACGAAACTGTAAGCTATCTAGATAATTATATACATGACATGTTGAGCTAAAGGACACCCCATTTCTCCCCTATAATACCTTCTCCCGTATAATACCTAAATACAATAGGCAGTGCCATTTGGGCCATCTCTGCAAGTGGCTGGTGCACCTGGGCTGCTTTTTCGCCTGCACACAGCTGAAAGTTGCCATCTTCCAAGAGCATTACAGACATCAACCGCGCAGTAAGTCGAACCAGCCACGCATTTGCACCGATAGGTGCCGGGTGTACATCGGGCACTGGCGTTCATATCCTCAGTAGGGGAAGTCAATGCGAGCGGGGCAAGAAGGAGGGCTAGAGCCATGAATTTGCCGGTGAGCTGCATTTTCAATTGCTGAATCTTGATGTTAGATTAAACACTTGTATTATTTTGAATGAAATATCATAATATTGTTAAGATAAAAAGAGAATCACCTTTGATAGGAACTTGGTTATTTTTAGAAAGACTCGGATATGCGAAGGTTTTGAAGTTGCAGATATCAATCTAAAACATAGATTTAGTTAACTTAAAGTCTTATAACAACATTGAGTTAAATTAATAGAAAACTTCTTACCTGTAAAATTGAACTTGAGAAGAATATGCTGATAGATGGGTCGAACTTTTCAGAGATGAAGAGTGAGAGAAAGAGGAAGAAGCTCTCTTATATAGATCAGCAGATTAGAATTAAAATCAGCAGATTATTTTAGATATTGTAACATCAGCTCAGAGATTACACTCTTCTACCACTCAGTCTAGTTGTATAGGAACTTAGATCTGCATTCCAATATCAAGTAAACAATTAAGTTTAGGTTAGAAATATTTTGTCCTGGTTAGGCGGAGAATATTGCCAATCTGGATAAAGTAGCAATGCAAGCTTGTTCACCCCATCCTGGGGGAAACAAGATTGATTCAATCAGAACATCCCAGAATAAATGTGACGATGACACCTAGAGTCAGCGTTTGTCAGACCTTAGTGCTTATAATTACATGTATGTATGTACATACAATGGATCCCGTATCGGGTTCCTTCCCGGTAGTTAGTTAGCGGCGGGATAACTAGCGGGCCGAGAGCTATCTTTCCCCAGCCAAGTCTTGGCTAGCTCATCTATTAGACCGTCAACCCCACAGTGTATCTATCAACTAGAGCTTGGCAACTCAAACGCTTGAATTTAAGGTCTATGGCAGCAGTGTCACACTTAATAAAATACTGGAACTTCAACAGTTGAATTGTTGTGGGTTTTGGAACTCACTCTGACAATCATTGACATTTCGGAGCCTCTGGGGAAAAAGCCTCATTCAAAGCAGGCGAGGATAGGTTTCTATCACTCGTTCTAAATGGTGAGTAGAAGAAGGGATATCCAGGAAGAGTACCTATAGCGTAGGTAGATTGCTTGATCAATCAACAGAGTTACTTGCCTGCTACTCTACGAATCACTACTCACTAGTAGTTACAAGTACGGGTACATGTACCGTACTACGGAGCATAGTGCTCACAGATGGTTGCAACCCTCCGCCAGCATGTCTCCATGAGAGCTATTCAAACTACTATGTACATCAAACAGTGTCAAACAACTGTCTAGTTAATTTTAACGGCGGTGAAATTAACCAAATGGACTGTAGTTAGGTGAGACTTGATCGTGTTGCTAAATAAGATTACTAGTTTTATGAGCCTGAAATTGTTCTTATTCTTACTACTTCGTTGATCTATGAACTGTTGCCATGACATAGCTAGTCAATGGACATTATTCTATGTCATATCCACGGCATTATTCCACTATTCTCAATCACTTCATCTACTGGATCTACCTCCAATTATTTAGATCGGAGAGAATATATTGAATCATCAGTTGTTGACCTACTTACAGAGTAGGCTTTTAGGGAGTTCTCTTTAGCCAAATGAGTCAGGTCAAGCAATTTATTAATCCCTGACAAGGAGCTATGTAACTTCCTAGATAGATAGGTAGTCTTCGCAATTTTATAGCTTTCTACTAATGCAACTTAAATCTGAGAACTTGAGATTTGAGTCTTGAAAGCATCAGCAAATCTTACATTTTGGAAAAGCTCTCAATGCATGCTAGTTAAGATGATTAGAAACTATTTACAAAACTCATTATAAAAGAAGTCTGATAGCCTTTTTCTTTTCCATTAATTTTTTCCTTTCACAGAACATCTTCTCTGATTTGAAGCTATTCAGGTGAGATTTCATCTCTTTCCTTTCTAAACTCACTATTATCATGTGTGTGTGTGTGTTGACAATCGTTTCTCTAGACTGACTCGCCTTTCACACCCTCAATAAGGAGTATTTTATTCTATATTCAAGAGAAACATATTCTTAAACTGTTAGCTTACACTCCTTTTTTACATCAATTACAAAATGATAAAAGCTAACATGATAACCAAGATCGAGCGATTCACCGTCACGATGCAGTTGATCAGCAAACTCACGGTTCTAGCCCTTTTTCTCACACCACTTGCGCTGGCTGCACCTGCAGAGAATGCACCCGGGCAGGATGACGGCTCCAACGATCTCCTAGCATGCAGAGCTGGCTCGTACCGTTGCAGGTATATCAGTGATTATCACTCTCAGATTGAGGTCTGTGCTGGCGGCGGGAGATGGGCATTATCAGCCAAATGTGCGTTCATGAGGCTTTGCCAGTATGATAACCGCGGTCTCCCCTATTGTCCGTAAGAAAAGAGCTTGGAACTTATATGGAACTTGCACTCTGTACATGAACTCAACTTCGTTCGTTCAGATTTTTGTTGTACGATGATAGCTTGAATTATTATGATATCATTTATTCTCAATGAATCCTGAAGCTTCAACAGCTGAATTAACACTCAACTATTCTCTGCTCCTTTTTCTTTTCCTCTTTTCCTTTTTTACTTATTATTTTTTTTTTCTCTTTTGCATGAGCGACTCAAATGTGCTAGTTATGAGAGCTAAAAAAAATCTAATGTACAGCAGTGATGCAAGAAGATTTAAACTTTTGAGACTTCTAATCAATATTCACTAGTCTCAAAGTAGTTTAACTCATAGTAGTTAGAAGTACACTAACTAGTTATAGTATCACATGATATTTAAATGCACTCACTCAACTCTATTTTCTCATCATTTTTTCTATTCTCTTTCTCTCTTCAAAATAATGAATCTTTATATTCTCTGTATACTATTTTCCCATACTACTGTCATCTTATTAGTTATATTTCTCCATCACTAACATGTAATTAATTAATTAGAGCTAGTAGCAGCAAGAAACAGTGGAAACACTAAACTACTTTGAGACTAGTGAATATTGATCAAACTTCTTGCGCGGCACTATATGTAACCAGCAGCATCAATCTCAGCAGGTTGAACTATCTCCGAAATTAGAATTTTTTTTTAAGACATCGTGAAAGCAGATATATATATCGCCCTTCGATCTTCGAAGAGTTACCCATTATTTATTGATCTTTGTGGGGGGTTTCTTGTACGTATATTAGCATAACCAATGATAAGAAAATAGGGCAAAACTCCCTCCTCCCTTTTTAATATCCTCCTCCCTTTTTTTTTTTGGTTTAATCCAATAGCTGCCCTCATGGCTCACTTGATATGAACAAGCACACAATGGACGCAGTGAAAAACGAATTTTCTTTTCCATTACATGTAACATTTTGGAAGATATTGATTGGAGAATCATGGCATGACTAATCTGTACAGTTTTTTTTACGATCCTTTTCTATCCACGAGAAAAATTACACGCCCCCTGCCGATCTACGTTGGACCTGCGTATACTATACCCGGGAGGCCGATGTAGATAATGGAGAAGGAGTTCAATCTACCATTAGCGCGATAGTACAGCATGAACTCGTGGTTCCTTTCCAAACCTCTCACTGATTTCAGGTTTGGTGCTGGCTGACTTTACTACATACACACTGCCAATCAAACGGCCATCTTTCCACAGTACACGGCTCGTAAACACATATGTCCGCCCCATTTAAACCATTCCACGTTCATCCATGCACCCCACCCCTCATTTCCGCTAGAATCTCATTGACGCTCCGCCGCTGCAAGGCCCCCTTTCCACTCCCCTCTTCTTTCTCCCCCCCCTCTCCCTCCGTCTCCCCATCATATCCACAAGCCATCACCACCGCCCCTTCCCACTCCTCTCGATCCCCATCCAGATCCACCGTAATAACCGCCCAACGGCGCGAAAAGCACCCAATCCACTTCTCAGGAGTCCGCTGCGCCGTCCCAAACCTAACCTCCAGATATGCGGCGAGCTCGCGGCTGCGTGGTTCTAGATAGCGGACAGTGCGGATGCGGTAGTAGCCGACGAAGGAATGCGGTTTGGAGGGTTGGTAGCGTCGTCCTGGGACCGCTTGGTCGATGAAGATGGGGTAGCTTGTCGGGTGGGCGGGGGATGGTGGGTTGTTGGTGTTGTTGTCGTTGTTGTTGCCGTACGTAGTGGTCGTAGTCGTGGTGGTGGTGATATTTGTCATTGTTGATGCTGCCGCGACTGGCACACGGAGAAGGTCGAGATTTGACTTGCAGAGGATTTCGCGCTTGGTTTCCCAGAAGGGATGGGCGTCGCTGAAGAGTATTATGTATGCCAGTGTGTCTAGGTCATTTGCGGCAGTGTTGAGGGTTCCTCGCCGCCGTCGTTCTCGTGCTTGTGCTGGTCGCGTGGTGGCTCTTGGGGGTGGAAATTTTCCATCTTCGGATAACCACCTGCTGTAATTGTTGTTGCTGCTGCTATTGATATTGTGGAAGAATTTATCGCGGAAGCTGTGATGGAACGAATGGCCGAAGTATGCGTCGATCTCTCTTCTTCGATAAGTTGTAGATGTTGGGTTTGGATGTTGCTGCTGCTGGGGATCCCGCTCTTGGTCGTCGCTTTCCGCCTTGTAGCGGAGGGCTGGTGGGATGTATTTCCTCGATTCCATTGTTAGGCGATATGCTAAGTGGTATTTCACCCTGGGAACCTGTATTGGGTGTGATGTGGGGAGAAGGGCAAGCAGGTCTCTAACCCAACAAGGTTGGAGAGGGTGAGGTTGAGAAAGAAGAGCCCAGTTGAATTGATACAGTAGTAGCAGTTCAACTGAGAGGAGGAATAACACAGAAGAAATCTAAAGCAATCTGGCTGCTAGGCCAACTACATATCCATGTATATAAATAGATCCTCTGGGTACTTTTTTAAGAACTTCATAGATAATGGATCTCTCTGAAATAGTCGATCAGATTCTATACACGTTCTGGTGACGATGGGTATATTATGAGCGCAACGATATAGATGGGCGCAAGATATAACAAGAAATGAAATTGATGTATGCTGATCTCCATTCAAGACTGAAGAATAAAAAGAGAAAAAGCGAACTCCAGGAGATGCACTGTTGAATGTCCATCTCATTTTTCATAAATATCGTTTTCAAGATATGAATTCTGTTCTTTCATTAGTACATCCATATCCACCATGACAAGATAATCCAGGCTTGTTAATGATGATAGAAATTTCTGATTAGCTCCTTCAATAGCTCCTATAGGTCCTGACCACGAAGCTGCTGCTTCATGGCGAGTTGGCAAAAGGAGTGAAGAAGGTTCAGTCAGAAAGAGCCAGGTCGATCTTTAATGAACCTGCTCTGGTTGGCCTCGCTTAAGAAACCTGAAAGTTATTAGTCCGTAACTTAATGATCTTTAAGCTTAAATAAATATACTGATATCTTTCTTCGATCTGACGTTTCCATTGTTCTTTGCATCTGTTCACATCGCAATTCCTCATGAGATCATATTTTACACTGAGAGACATAAGTCTCAGATTCCGTATTTCCCACTCATCTATTCATCAGCCTGCATGTGTCGAGTCTTCCCTCCCCATCCATAGTCGTTTCATTTGGAATCTGGAAGGCGAAGTCAGGTGTTAGTAAAGAATATCTGGTATCGCCCGATGATTTGCGGATTTGCGGAAGGAAGGTCGCCCATTCTCATCACCGGTTCTAAAATGCACATACATACATTATCTGCCCTTGTGCGTGTGATATAGTTAAATGGGAGCCCGTTATGGATAGCCAAAGCGACAGGTTCGGTCCATGTTCTTGTCTTGTAACACCCCCCGTACTTCTTTTTATTTCTTGCAGAATTTATTTTCTGGGGTGGTATCCCGTGGATCAGTTCTGCAGAGATATGCCGAACTTTAAAAGAAAAAAAGGGCTCTCTTTTCACTTCGGGCCGCAGCTGAAGCTGTGGCTTCTGAAGTTTCTGCTGCATTGTTTGGCGCAAGATCACTGGGATCATGCAGGGTCCAGACCTGCCTAACACATTCACAAATAATTTGCTGATTATCATCATGGTGGTTGATCTGTGGCATTTTTTGATGTTTTTGCCCTTGTGTGGCAGCCATCAAGCACCACCATGCGCACCCATGACATAACTAATCAGCTGGCGGCGACAGAACCCATGTTGTGCCAGTGCTATATTTATTCGGCATTGCAACTGGGCATGGATAATACATCACTTCTTCCTGTCGAAGTGAATGATCCGATTCCGACAATACTCGGAGAAAAGAATGAATGAGCGTTTCCCTCGAGGGCGCTGGGCACATGAGCCATCGGTGGGTACGCTAGGGATGCGGTACACCATATCTTCCATTTTGAAAGCTAGAATTCGGGTTGGACGTTATGCGGTTTTTGAGGCGAGTGGTTGTTAGGGGTATTCACATCGGGCCCAGGGGGGTGAAGCAGGAGGCGAGGGAGTCCCCTGTAGGCTGTGAGGCTGGTACTGTAGTTGTTACATTACCGGGAGGGAGTTGGTGTTTCAGGGGTTTTATTTTTGGGGTAGAAATCATCACACGCCAAAAGGCTGAAAATAGCCAATCCACGATCGCTCACTCACTCACCTTCACACAAACAAATACAACACATTCTCTAATCATATTTATCCATTATATCCTTGATATCGCTTCGATGCTGACTGCAGCTGGTGCTGATGACGCGCGGTTGCAATATTGTTCTTCTGCTGTACCTGGGAAGTATTTAGGGAAACACCCTTTTTTAGGAAACTCGCCGGGATCCATGACACTGACTATATATACATAGTATTGCTTCACCAGATATCCCTCTGTGTTTGCTGTTCATTCTCTTATTATCTCCGTTTCTGACTCGTTTTCTGACTCTCACTTCTTCATAAACAATCCTCACCTATAAGCCCAATCCAAATTCTCCTGCATGTTTCAAGCGCATAACACCCGTACGACCAGCTTCCTCTTGCCGTCATGGCGACCTGCCATCATGGGCTTTTACAATCAATACTTATCTGGGCGCTTTTGTCCCTCCAAGTTATGGCTTCGTTTATATACCCTGCTGTGACAGATCCACTGCGAAGTGCGCATAAACATGAGATGGGGGATGTCGTACTAGAAACACAGCTTAGATTAAATATGGCTATCCCTTCTCGTGTAGCAAATGCTACTCGATCGGACATCGACAAGGCTAGGCGGATTGTGAATGCGGCAATTGAGAAAGCCTCAGTCCTTAACAAAGCTCGACTGGACCATCCAGTGAGAAATCACTATCCCTGGAAGCCTGGTTTCAAAGCTTCCCGTCGCGATGCATCCAGCGGAGATGCACCGCCACCTCTTCTCAAGATTAGCAGCGAGATAGCAGCTGCCTCAGCTCTCTTAGCTGAGGTGGAGGCTGTTGCTGAAGCTAGAGACCTTTCCAAAACTAAGCGCGATTACTCGTATATTGACGCCCTTTACAACCGTACGGCAGAGAAGCAAGCAAGTACCTTCTGGATGGAAGATATCGAAAGAAAAGGGGCCTGGCCGTTTGGGAATGATCCTTCCTTCCAGGTGTGATGTTACCTTGACCAATATGACGGGGGCTTTTAAGGTTATCTAACAGGTGGAATCAGGTTTTCCGTAACGTGAAAGACTACGGGGCATATGGAGATGGTGTGCATGTAAGCTATAGATTCTTGATTGCTGGATCAGCCTCTCATGGTTCTATATAGGATGATACAGATGCCATTAAGCGAGCAATGACAGACGCGGGAACATGTGGTGAAAGATGCAACGGCGCGACAACCAAGAATTTCATCCTTTATTTCCCATCTGGTGAGTTGAATTTCCCACATGGACTTAAAAATTTTGATATTTTATTGACCTATCAAGGCACATACCTTGTTAGCTCCACGATCGAGACCTACTTCGGAAGCCAGTTAATTGGAGACGTGAGTAATGGGTACCACTATCATGATTTGGCTCCAGGAGGTTCTAACGAGCCTAGGCAAACGATCGACCTATCATTAAAGCTGCCAGTTCATTTGTTGGTCTTGGTGTGCTTTCCACAAATCATTATGTTGAAGGCGGTGGTGCTGGTCCAGATGGAAATCCAAAGGAGTGGTATGTTACCACGGTGAGTAAAGGAACGATTCGACTGTAGCTGGATTGTTGAATATACATGTACACTGACACATTGGTGCAAAAAGGCCAATTTTTATCGCCAGATCCGGAATTTCAGAATTGATATTACTGCCACAAACCAAGGCGCATATGTTGCTGCACTCCATTATCAGATCGCCCAAGCCACAAGCCTTTCAAACGTTGACTTTATCGTTTCTACGGAGCCTGGTACCACCCAGCAGGCCATTTGTAAGTGATCCTTTTGTACAGTACTATATTTATCGTCCGATTCTGACCAGATCGAATAGTCACTGAGAATGGAAGTGGTGGAGTTATGAGTGATCTAACGTTCACTGGAGGAAATTTTGGAATATGTAAGTGCTCAACATCATCTCCTCAGTTTTCATAGTGACATCCTGTCCTGACGCGTGAATAGATGGCGGGAACCAGCAATTTACTGCCCAAAGGCTCAAATTTACAAATTGCAAAACAGCCGTACAGTTGATATGGGACTGGGGATGGGTAAGTTATTCACTTCTGATTCGATGAAAGTCCTGTGTCCGGGCGAAATCTTGCAACAATTTAACGCTGAAACGTTTTAGATGTGGAAAAACATCGAGATCACTGGATCTGCTACAGGCTTTAAACTTATGTCTGAGGATTCGGTCCCTCGAACTGGCTCTATAATGGTAATAGACTCCATCTTCAGAGATACAGACACGGCACTTCTCACGTTCCCTGCGACTGCGGAAAAAGGCAGAGGTACCACAGGAATTACCCTGGACAATGTTGCTTTCGAAGAAGTTAGAAATGCCGTCGCGGACAATGAAGGAAAGGTGTATCTTGCTGGAAGCGTTCTAAGCGTCGATACATGGGCCATTGGCCCAGTATATTTTGATATTTCCCAAAGAGATTATACCCTAGGGATGGACTTTACCACAAAACGAGAGTCCACCTTGCTTGCGGATCAATCGACTTCCCTGCCCAAAGCACCCTTCTTCGAGAGACAGAAGCCTCAATATGAAGCGATCCCTGCCTCCAAATTTGTTCACATGAAAGACCATGCCAAAGGTTCCACTCCTTTTTTTTGTTCGAGTATGATCTATCACGTCATTGCTGACCTTCACTTCAAAATAGGGGACGGCGTTACCGACGATACAGCAGCATTCCAAAGTGTATTGAGCCAATATGCAAGCAGCGACAATATTATATTTGTCGATGCGGGTTCGTACATTTTGACTGACACCATCACTATTCCTGTTGGAGCCAAGATCGTTGGAGAGGGTTGGTCCCAGCTCGTTGCATTTGGCCCCAACTTCCAAGACGAAAGGTGAGAATATTCTTTCATCTAAAAATTTAAATGTATAAAGTCCTTGCTGATGTTGGATGCATAGGAACCCGCGACCTCTGGTTCGAGTTGGAAACGACGGCGATCACGGTGATGTGGAAATTCAAGACCTTCTTTTCACCACTAAGGGGCCTACGGCAGGCGCTGTTTTGGTAGAATGGAATATCAAAGCTACCTGCTCAGGCTGTGCTGGCATGTGGGGTACGTTCAACTCGAGACTTCGCCTTCTCCTTTTGTGATGGTCACTACCGTAGCTAGGACTACAGCTAATGGGCTGCAGATTCACACGTACGAATTGGAGGGGCTACTGGTACCGAACTTACTTCGACAGAGTGCCCAGCGATTACGAGCGGTGTAAATGATGATGGCTGCAAATCGGGCAGTCTTATGATGCACATTACCAGGTCGGCATCGGCATATATGGAAAATGTTTGGCTTTGGACCGCAGATCACGACATCGACGACCCTGACTTGCAAGATGATAACAATACTCTGGTAAGTATATGAAATCTCGTAACCGGCTTAGTGTTAGTACATATCTAAACCTGATACATATAGATCCAAACTTCTGTATACTCTGCGAGAGGTTTGCTTGTCGAAAGTACCGAGGCAACATGGCTTTATGGGACGTCGTCTGAGCATGCGGTCTACTATCAGTACAATTTTTACAAGGCTCAAAAGGTATTCGCAGGCATGATACAAACCGAATCTCCATATTATCAGCCAACCCCTATGCCGCCGGCTCCATTTGAATCCGCTGTCGGTATCTTCAGTGGAGATCCTAATTACGAACGTTGTCCGCACGGTTCGCCGGGATGTGATG